TTTATCGACTCTATCAACATCATTAGATGTTCACTCTCATTGCTATTGATTTTGAATTTTCCAGGTTGCCACGACACTTTGTTGTGTTTCTTGTTTGCTCAGAACGGAGCAGTATAGCTGACAGCCACTGCCCTCCTTACGGTCTACCGTAGCAAGCTCACGGCTCCCCATTAGCCTTCTCGCTCAATTTGAAATGACAAAGTGTCCAACCCAAACAAGCAATGATATATCTAATTTGTCATCTGTCATGTGGACAATTTGAGGATGGACGATGATTCTGACAGCCAAAACAATGAAAATGAGCATCAGACCCTTGGAGGTGGCACTCTTAGTGCACAAAATGGAAAGGTTGTATAAATACGTGTTCACTGTTACAACAACGTTACATCGCCCTATTAAATCAAAAGAAGTAGCCATCTGCCCAAAATGAGGCTCAAAGGAGAAACTAGAAAAGCACTAAAGACACAGACTGAGCATCTACCCTACCAGAATATCCACCTAATGCACCAAACCATTTGAGTTCAAAAGAAAGGATGAGGCTTTGCTCATTCTCTCACCGTAAGAGACAGTGGAGCAGAGTGAAGCAGCAGAAGCAGGAGCACAGATTGTGCTGTGTGCATTTGACAAAGAGAAGCTCTTAACAGCCTTCTTGCTGGCTAAAGCGCCTGGTAGGGATGATGAGCATCATAAAGGAGCTGAAATATACTCATACGTGAAGTGAGCCCTCACCAGTGTTGACTCTGCAGGCTTAAGATAGTGAAACAAGGCAACTGATGGGCATATGATTTGGAAAAAAAAAAACTTGACATGAAGCATTTTGTCTTTTTTAGTTATAATTATTATTATTATACAAATATATGAAGCAGTGATCTTATACCTCCTCTTTATCTGAATTTAATGGGTTTTATTGGCAAAAAAATCATAGTTTTAAATAGAGCAAGGCTTCAATCCACAGTGCAAAAGCTACTTGCACTAGAGCGAAATGCTCCACAGCTTGCATGCATTCTGTCTGATCATGTAGGTGTACGTGGCTTTCTTTTGGTAAAACAAATAAACGTGTGGGTGAGTGGTGCAATACATACATAAAGACAAACAGAGATCATGGCTAACCCCTGAATTTTTTTCCAGTATTTCATCTCAAGCACAAAAGCAAGCTGTCATTCGAGCAGAAATAACGACAGAGCAATCGAAGGGGGGAAATAAATAAATAAATTGTCCGTCTCTATACAGCTACAAATTAGTTCTGCTGTGCTTTTTAACTGACCAGCAGAGACCCTCAGCACAGTGCAGTCGTGGCATCGGTCTTGCACTGGGGCAAGCTCTGCCTCGCACACTGTGCCCTGGGAGACACTTGGCAGGATCAGTGTCTCTGTGGCTGCATACAAAGGCCTGATGGATGTTCATGCCCTTGAGTGGAGATCATCTGAGCTCTCCACTGGATCACTAATCCTGACACACAGCACACACTGCTGCGCGCATTCATACTGGCATCACACGGTATGGTGAATGGGCGCTTGTTAAGGTGGATGACTTGAAAAAATATTGAGGAGGCTCGAAAGGACTTGCGAGCAGAGGGGTTTAGCTTATACTGTAACTCCATTTTGGAGACTCTCGGGGCTAGCGTAAGATACAGCAGCCATAAGCTTTTCATCCTTGAAAGCGCACTGGCACACACACACACACACACACACAATAAACACACATCCACATTATATAAATATTTATATAGACTGAAAAAAATGTGAGTGGTAAAACCAAATCCAGGGAAGAAGATGCAGAAGATGTCAGATGTAGCCATACATGAAACCAATAAAGCGCACGCGAAGATGCTGACTTTGACTACTTCTTGTCAAATGTATAATTCATTGGAGGAAAAAAGGCACTAACTAGGGAAGCCTCGAAAGTGCTGAAGAAGAGGGCAGAAGGTAAGCTACAGAGCAGAGAGCAGGGAGGAGTAGAGTGAGCAGAGTGGGAGGGATGGGGGGGGAGGAGGTAAAATGAGATAAAGGAAAGAGGAGGCTGGGAGAGAGGACCGAGAGAGGGATTACAGGGGTGAAGGAGGCAAAAAGGACAAAAAAAAAAGCCGGTGGAAATAGGAAGTGGATTGAGAGTGACAACAGGGAAAAGAGTGATGATCAAAAAAGGCTAGAGAAGAGGAGGCAACAGAAATGCACTGCATGTCCTCCGTACCGCACAGGAGAACGTGGATTTATTGCAGCAATTTTCTCAAAGATAGAATTAAGATTAGTTGCTTTTCGAGCATAAATCCTTTTCACTATGCGCATCATCTGTGTTCGCGCCTCTCAAATTACCGACCCATCCTTCTCTGACTCAGTGCCATACAGGAAGGGAGAGTCAAAGGTATTGTCAGGCACGCAACTAAATATAAATCTTGTGACGTCTCCTCGATATGCCCTAATATTCTAGTTCTAAATGTTATGTAATGACACTTGTGTATGATTCACCGGCATCATATGTTGCAATTTACTGCTTGCTTTTTTTTTTCTTTTTTTTCCCCAGAGATTTTAGTGTGGGAAGGAGCAGAAAATTACATAAGCTGCTAAAAAGTCCAATTCGCTCAGGAGAATCGATTGAAATGCCGAGTGTTTCCTGGTCATTTGCTCCATGAATTATAAATAAAAAGATTACAGTCAAATTGCAGTCAAAAAGCCAAAACTTGAACCTGTCAGTGTAGGAGGATAGAGAAAAGTAATAGCGTCATAAGAACTGTAAGAAAAAAAGAAAGGGACACAACTTTTGCACTTTTACCTTGAGGATGAAATCATCTTTTATCCGAAATGGGCTTTCCTCACAAATTTGTACTAATTCTGGTTCTTTTTCTCAAAGACATCCTTTCTCAGCCTGACTTTTCTCGCCAAAATACTCAACCCACCGACTCAGTGGGGGATGCCTTTTAACCGTCAAAGAGCACGGCACAGCAGTGCTCCGGTTCTAGTTGTGTGCTCTGTGTAGCGGTATCAGATATTTGTCACTCACCAGCTGACTGTGGCTTCACCCACACACCAAAACTTTGTGCAAAGACCTGCACGGGAACGCGGCATTGTTCACATAACTTGTTATACAGCACGTGGGTGTCACGGAACAGCTCGCTCAGGGAGCTGCTCGCCCGTCATCTGCTACGTGGTGGCAAGCCACACTCCTCACCTGCAGTTCAGCCTGCCTCCATTAAAGTTTAATAATGCACATTTAAAGGAATACACCAAGTTTTGTGGCATATCCAAGTGAACCGTTGGCTCTCTTGTGAATATCTGGTTAGTGTTTAACAAACAATCCCCAGTGACAAAGGTTTAGCTCATTTTGCTGGGTGAAACGGTCATCTAGGCGCTCCAAGAATAGCCATTTCATTTGCCAGTCAAAGAGCTGCTTAGCCAATCAGTCAGTGCATAACTTTGCACATCTATGCGCTCTCACCTTTCCTTTTATAAACCAACCATCTGTCTCACAAGTTCTTGGCAATACTTGGGTTTTCTGTGCCAGCTTTACACTAAGTCTTTTCACACTTTGAAAGCGATGCAGAATTCTGGAACCGGTTGGGTGAAAAACCCACAGTTACCAACCGTGGTCTTTTACTTACAGTCTTATTTTTCTTCTTGTCCTAAGCTCAGTGATGTAAAACAAAATGCACGAGGTGCAGGTGTTCCAGGGAGGAGAAATACCTTGAAGCTTCCCTTTCCTGCCCCCCCTTCTCTCTCTCTCAATGAATTTGTCACACTGCACGGTGCAAGGTAACAAAAACTGCTTTGCAGAACCAAAAAGCAGCTACCTGTGTGGAAGTTCTGTCATTAGGGAAGGACGTGAAATGGTGTGAAATTCACAAACAAAAAACGCGTTTAATGTACTTTGCTGTACACGCGCGCAGTGTGTCTCCCTCCTCATCTGAATGCACCTACTTATCTGTGTTTAACCACTAATCTCTGTTGCCACGGAAACTGAGAGCTTGATAAGCAAATGAATGTAATGTGCCACAGTTAAGCGCAAGTTTACGTAATACATCTGAAAGGACCAGCTGCACTCACGCCTGCTCCACAAATTAAGAACAAATGGAAATCTCAGATGATCAGCACCTTCACACGCCTGTGTGTGTGTGTTTGCGTGTATTTTTGTTTTCCTCTTTTTTCTGTCATCACTTCCTGCCAGAATCTGCATTCAGGTTCAGCTGCTGTAGTACACTGCTCACCTCCTTTTGAATCTGTGTGCAGCTGTGTAGGTATGTCCATCAGAAAATTATATATATATAGATATATCTATATCTATATCTATATATAGATGATCTGAAGGTCTTAAGGTCTTGGACATCTGAACAAATAGGCTTGGACAACAGACTTGAAGCTACTTCATGTTCCTTTTTCTAGTCAGTCTCATGTCTAGTACTGGCTCCTTGGAGCAGCGCATGTGTGTGATATAACATGTGGCTCATACATTATGTTTGCAGATGTTTGCAGCTACACAGTGGGTAAGCTTCACGTGTGCTTACGGTCGAGTTTAGGACAAAGCAGCTGGAAATTGTGAGAAATATTAGCATGCACAGTGCCCTCCCATGGTCTCTGCCTGACACACTCTGCAGCTCGGGCATGACACAAAGCCCCACACAGGCAACCCGAGGATCAGATCTCTGCCACTTTCGCTACATCCACGCAGGTCAGCCAGCCCCTGTTCATACACTCACAAAGCATGACACGGAGTAGGAGATTCAGAGAGTGGGAGAGAGGGTCATCTAGAGAGGGAGATATCAAAGAGTGTTCAGTCAGGTAGCTCAGCTCGCACTGAGGCTTTTCTGAAATGTTCAAATGCTCAAAACGAACACAAAGATAGAAACAATGCACAACACGAGAAATGTCATGAAGACAGCAAATTCCCACAATTGAGAGATGGCAGAAGGAAGCTGGCTGCTTTCTTCCCGGTTCAGTTCCAGTTGTGGTGCCTCTCACTCTGTTTCACGCACACATAGAGCTAGAGTAATGAACAACAGATAGGCTTACCTTTGTAGTCACAATGCAGAGGCAGTCCATGGTACTTAAAACAAATATCGGGGTGTATCTCAACCCCCCCAACCCCCCACGACAGAGGGCTGAGACCCCACACCCCTCTCCCCAGCCTGCCCCACTCCTGCGCTCTCACTCTCGTCCTGCCTTTCCCCCCTTTTCTCTCCTTCCGTGAATCTCTTCTTTGACTAACTGAACCAGCGAGGGAAAGAGAGGATGGAGGGAGGGGGGAAACATGAAAAGGGAGGGGGAGGGCCACAGAGAAATAGAGAGAGTGAGCAAAAGGAGAAAAAAAGAGAAGAGAGGAGAGAGGGTGGTCTTAGAATTTAGTATAAGAGAGAGAAAGAGAGGGAGAGAGAGCAGAGAAAAGGAAAGGTGTGAGTCTATCTAAGGAACGGTGGAAAAGAAAGAGAAAAGATGGGATGAATACAAAAAGAGATGGAGAAAGGGGAGGATGGAGATGGAAGGCAGGGGTGGTGGGATTAACAAAAAAAAGAGGGGGGGGGTCACACTGTGGAAAGAAAAGGGGAAAAAGAGAAACGGAGAATAAGACAGCGAAACAGCCGAGGATGGAGAGGAAGAACTGAGGGAGGGGACAGTGAAGGAGAGAGAAAAGGAGAGGGAGAGTGGGTGAGTGCGTGAGTGTATGCATGTGTGTGTGTGTGTGTGTGTATGTGTGTGTGTGTGTGTGTGTGTGTGTGTGTGTGTGTGAAGACAGCAGGAATTAGACCGAAAGAAAATGTGTTGAGGAGGAGAGTGTGAATTACATATGCATCACAGAAAAAAAGAAACCATGAAGCACCGCGAGAGCGACTCAGAGAAGACCGGATCCCATGAAGCCGAAGTTTGCTTTAACCGGATGAAAAAAAGAAAGAAACTGAAGACACATGAAGGTTTTTTTCTGCTTGTTGTAGCACTCTGCAGCTGTTGCCTTAGCAATGGTGCAGTTGTTGCCATGGCAATAGGGAGGCTTGTTGTTGTCATATGGTCACCCTTGTAGGACTGAGGTCTGAGTCAGTAACTCTGCATTGGATTTGCCCACCTGAGCATATTTCCACGTGGCTGTGCAAATATGCACTCAGGTTATAGAGGAGCACAAAGGACAGTAATAATCTGAGATTTTAGGAATATTTCAACGTTAAATAGTCCCAAATACACACATTAATGATAATGCGTTGAAACTTTCTTTAGCCCCTTCTTCGTCTGAATTGTTATATGATTTCTCCTCTGTTTGACTGTTCACATTTTTGTTTAGTTTAACTAAAACAGATTAAAGAATGCATGCACTCCTCTCAGCACACTCTGCCTTTAAGACTGTGGACTGTACCACTCGGGGTTATATAAGGGGGAATGTGTGCTTTAGTGTCTTTACATCATCAGTTCTATAATTGTACAAATCCACCCCTCACCCAGCCACATCCCCACTTTCCAGCCCCCCACAATGCTGGAGCAATGGTGCAGAAGTAAAGCAATTCAAAATGATGAACGCACGTTTATACCCCAGGTGAGAGTAGAGGCTTTGATCGAAATGTACAGCGGCAATGAAACAAACTGAAACGCTTTGTGTCCACAGATGGCCTCATCCTACTGTTAGTAATACACTTGTAGTCGTACTTTGACAGACAGATGACCCTAGTTACCTCTCTGCGCTTTATTAAACGCCTGTTAGTTTACATTTGGACATCTGATCGTCGTCTCTTGGCTCATGAACTACTGAATTACAAACCTTACTTATTACAAGTTGCACGGCAGCTTTGTGTGACAGAGGTTTAATGAGCAGAGATTCGAGCACAGTGAAGTAATATTTCAATTGTCATCATATAACATTTATTCACTTCCACTAGCCTTTGATGCCTTCTGACAACTCTTTTTATAATGCATTTAAAGATTCAAGCACTATAACCCAAGGCTTTTTTTTTTCTTTCATCTTTTAAGACTCAGTTTTTCTTACTTTTGTCTGTTTTAAAAACTATACAGCGCCGCAGATCACCTTGGAAAGATGTTGTTTACACAAGATAGCAATGTGTAATAAGGAAATATAATGTGCCACATTTTATTTAGTAAAATATTGATTAATATACTTCATCTAATTTGATTGGTCTAACTTGTCACAGTTACAATCAGTCTTCTGTTGCTATTGTCCAGCTTGAGGAAATTCTGAGTGTTTGTCAGTGTTGTGTCAGAGCTGGTGACTATAAAGGTTTCCACATACATGTTTGTTTTTAAATTGGAAAGGGACCACGTATGTGTCATCAAAGGGAAATAAGCTCATCAGGCCTCATTAGGTATACTAGTTCATCTTGTTTGTTAGCACAGTTATCTAGGCTGATCACATGGCAGAAACTCAGTGCATTTAGACATGTAGACAGTTTAGGTCAAGGCAAAGCGAGTATCAAAATGGGAAAAAGGGTGATTAAGGTGACTTTCACCTTGGTATGGTTGTTGGTCCCAGACTGGTTTCAGAAATTGCTGACCTACTGGGATTTACTACAAAACTGTCGCTTGGGTTTACAGGTATTGGTCAGGAAAGAGAAAATATCCGGTGAGAGTCAGTTCTCTGGGTGAACATGCCAGAGATCAGTGACCGCTAGTATCACAGAAAAACAGTAACTCAAATAACCACTCACTACAATCAAGGTATGCAGAAGAGGATCTCTGAATGCACAACAAGTCAAAGCTGGAAGCAGACGGGCTACAGCAGCAAAAGACCACACTGGGTGTCACTCCTGTCAGCTAAGAACAGGAAACCGATGCTACACTTCACAAGGATTCACCAAAACACTGGAAAAACCTGGCCTGGTCTGATGAGTCTTAACATCTACCGCAACATAGGGTCAGAGTTTGGCTTAAACAACATGCAAGCATGGATCCATCCTGTCTTGAACTGGTTCAGCTCAGTGTACTCAAATGTCTCAAATGTCACAGTCAACAGATCTCAATCCAACAGAGCACCTTTGAGATGTGGAGGAACAAGAGATCAACATCATAGATGCGCAGCCAAAAAGTCTGCAGAAACTGTGTGATGCTGTCATGTCAATATGGACCAAAATCTCGGAGCAATGTTTGCAGCACGAAGAATTAAGTTAGCTCTGACAACAACCCATGATATTAGAAAAGCGTACCTAATGAACTGACTGGTGAGTGTATATCATTATAGTTAATTGATACTGAAATGGATTTTTCAAAACATCACCATCATCAATTTTTGCCCATCATTTTATTCTTTAAAAAAAATGAAATTCTTTAATTACACGAGCGAAGTAAAATAGCCACTGGTGAATCTACTAAAGGGAAGTGATAAGAGAGAAAATCTGCCATGTTTGGTGAAGAAATCAACTTCTATTCCAACCTAATTATCAAGCTTCTGAAGTCTGAGTTAATCAAATTATCTTCCTTATTTGTGTTCCCCCGTGCAGTATCAGTGGGACAGAACCACATAGAGGAACTTTATACAAAAAAGAAGAGGAAGACGGTGTAAAGAGTGTTTTTGCACTTGTAAAAAACGCTTATTTAAGTGTAAAAAATTGTTACAGGCTTTCACACGGACCAAAGTGGATTTTGTCACCTATTGTCACATTTTTCAAGAATCTCTTCTTGGCTGATAGAGAAAGGGAATAGAAATTTAAAGATAAAACCCAATAAACAAACAAACCCTAAAGAACAAGGTGAAAAAGAAAGCTGCTTCAGCATACCTGCTGGATTCAAGGGAATGAAAAAAGTCAGAATCTGTCCTCTCAACTTACTCTTAATTAATTTCCTGGATATCAATCAAGTGATATTAATTTTAGTTTAATAAAAAAGAACAAAAAAAAAACCCCAAAACAATTAAGTCTAGTGTGATTCCTTCTCCGTGTTGCAGTACTCTGTTATTGTGTATTAAAGCGCACTCCTGTGCTCTGTTCTACTAAACCATTCCTGACTAAGTGGCAGCAGAAATGGGTTTACAAATCATCTGTAAATGTCACAGATAATTGTTTGCACTTCTCACATCTGTGATGATGCTAGGTTTGTGTTTTTCATTTAACTGCGCATTTCTATGTCAGCACTCGTTATTTCCCCAGCCTTGATTGCCGACAGAATTGACGGCTTCCTCTCCTGCAATGAACACATAAACAGAGACGTCGGCGTTTATGTAAAATGCATACATCTAACGTGAGTTCCCAGTATGGAGGTGAACACAGCTGCATTTCATACATGTCTGTGTAAATATTTTAGTGGGAAAATGGGAACACGTCATGTGTGTGGGTGTGTGTGCATGTGAATGCATTAGTAATTAATGTAAGGCTGCACCAGCATGTGCGTGAGGTGATCTGTTTACTGTGACAGTGATTAATGTACATGTTCAGTCGTAAGTGGCGCGTATGAGCTTTTATGCATATGAAAGGATTGGATTGAGTTATGATCCGCATACTCTACAGGCGTTTTCTCTCAGAAGATGATCCTAATATGGCTGACCTGTATACAAGATTATATAATTCTGCTCTTGAGTGAGCTAACAGCTCTACGCTCACATTTCCTGTGCCAAAAACTTGAGTACTCTCACATTCTCAAAGTTATGATTCTTCTGGTGCAAATAATGAAAAGTGTAGACCCAGACAGAAGAAGAAAAAAATCAGTCACAAGAAAACAGCATAATATTCATGCTCATTATGTAAATGAGGAGAAAATATATATCTTAAAACCAAAAAAAAAGAACCCTTTCATTGCCCGTGGAACACCCACACATGCACAAAGGCACACGCACTTACACATGCACATGCTGTTAAAAATATATCATGCTAGGAGTAGCAAAGAGAGAAAAAACCTCTCCCCATGGACCAGCTTGAATACTGAGAGCATTTCCACTCATGTACATCCACGAACCTCCATTACAATAGTCTTTTAACAAGACTTGAGAAAGCACTCACCCATAAATATGTCGTCTCCATCCTGCTGTGTTGCTGAGCTTAAAGTCTTTTGGATCTATGGTGTGCCTCTGACAAAAAAAGTAGGCCAAGGACAAGCACTGGTCATCTAAACAGGCTAAACCCAGGCAGAACATCCAATTCATGGGGCTGCTGCGTTGGACACTCGCCAGATCTACTTCTAGTCACAGGGAGATGGAATATTTTCATGGAGTCATCTTTATTCAAGCTAAAGGATATTGCTCATGCAATATAGTGGAGTATTTTTTTCCTGAATAATAATATTCTTATTGTAATGTCAAATATTTCACATTCAAAAATCTATAAAGAGGCTCTTTTAAACATTAATATCAGTTAAGTAATGTGTAAGTTATATTCCAGTGTGAAACATAAGACTACATTTGCTGGATTTTCTCTTGCCAAATTTCTTTTCTCTGTCCAAAAATTCAGCTGATTTAAAAACCGACACCCTGGCTGTCAAAGAAAGGAGACACCTACAGGTGGATCAAGACTCACTTGGGGAAGTGTCACTTTTTGGGCTTATTTGTGGGCATCATTGTGACTGCTGGGCCTGTCTGCTCTCACTTTTACTGCAACTTCCCTGAAATAAAACTATCTGTACCCCAGTCGACATGCACAATGCGCCATGTGCTTCCTTGGGAAGCAGGCTGCAGTTTGGATTCTGGGATT